TCGAAAATGTATTCATTACATATTATGACCTTATAATTTACTTGCTGGCTATATCACTATAAGAAGAGATTTTACTTCTTTCGCTTTTAAATTCCTTTTTTATAACAGAGAAGCATACCTCTCTATCTATATTTAGTAGATATAACATCTAAACAAGTTGGGCTGTCTACCTGTTTTTGTATTTCATAGATTTTGACGGCTCTTTCATGTGTAGATGATAGTTCGTGACCCGGACAAATTTCTATATCCTACCTCATTTAATATCAACACTTATAATATAAATAGTTTAATAATAAACATCTCGGCTACGAGAATCGAACTCCCGTCTTCAAGAATGAAATTCTTTTGCGCAATGCACTACTTTACGATCATAGATCTTTCTATATATAGTATTTCAATTTACTATCTATAAAACAAATACATCTTAAAGAGAAAAGGTTTAAAATGGGACAGCGTAAGAAGGAAATTTTCCGGTAGCCCTGTCTGAAACTGTTTCAATTTCACGGGGCGTTTGCCGGACGTCAAAGACGCCCTAAGGTGTCGTTTTAGTGAAGGCTACGTAAACTGGTAGGATACTTACATTTTTGAAGCTGCCAACAAAAGCGACTTTAAAGAAAACGTAGAAAAACTAAAACAATTTTAGGGAATGATTTTGTCAGTAAGGAACTACCAAAATAATTATTAACTATCAATTATTTTTAAGTTTGAAAGTACGGGTTTAAAACCGTTAAAAGTTTTTTTCAACCTTAACATTTTTACTTTTTAATTGTCATACACAAATAAGCGGGAAATTTCAAACTCTTATGTAGAAAAGTGGAAAATGCTAATATATTTAGAAGATGACAAATTCATTTCATAACGCGTTACAACGCGCGTCTTTCAAACTATCGCTTTTGCTCTCGTTGCTCAAACGTACCCTTTTTTCATTGAAGTAATTAAATATCTACAGTAATATTGAAAAAAATACGGTATGATACTTACTTATATAGACATATATACTTATTTCTACCAATAGAATTTTAATGAAAGAGGTGTAAATTTGACTCATAATAATAATCAAACTAAGAACAATATGCTTCCTTATATAATATTGATTAATAGTCCAAAAACGGATTTAGTCCAGGGCATTACGCATCCCTTCGCACGTACCATCATTATTCATTTTGACGAATCATTCATATATATCTCGCCCCATAAGCCCCATTCCTGACGCTCAAGTGTAGGGAAAATATTGTTAAGAACTACACCCCGGTACCTGCACAAAGTGTTCAGTGCATCTTATATTTCTCTCTAAGTACTTAAAACCACGCTTCTGCGAGAAAGTTGTAATGGATGGTAAGATACGGTGCAAATATGTCAAAGTTTGTTGCAACCCAAATAAAGTTCAACTCATATGACGTGGCTAAAGCTAGCTTTTACGTATGTGAGAGCTTCTAGCCTGCTCGAAACATCAATGTTTTATTATTGCTTTATATTGCAGATAACAATTTAAAAAAGAAAAATAATTTTGAAGCTTGCCTTGTCTTAGTTTTGAGTCTCTATATGTAGTGTCTGTATTTGTGTCTGATTTTATATACCGTATTTAAAACCGTTAAAATTGTTTTATTTGTCGATATGTGAACATGACAGAAAAGTATGATGATGAAAAAAGTACGGCTGGCTGTTAATGTGGGTTTGAATCCCATCCTGTTCATACTTTTTCAATAGCTATTGTTTAAATTTACATATGACCTTACACCAGAATGTTATTTTCGAAACTCAATGCAAAAACTTTAATACAATTTCGTAGGATCACTTAAATAATAAAGACATTATTTTCTAATTTTCTTCTTGCTACCTATAGTTTTAAAAACAAAAGATATTTACATCCTAAAAATCAAAATTATAATAAAAATTCTAATATATTCATGTATAATCATTTCTCAATAAAAAAGTAAAATTTAATTAATTAATACATTCGAAACTAAATGGAATAATTACAGTTCCTTAAGATACTACATTTCTAATTCTCTTGTTGCTTATAAAAGATATCTACATATTAAAATTCCAATATCAGTTCAAATATAAAATATAATGATTCCCCAAAATAAACAAACATTACTCCCAATAAAGCTCTAAACAGTGAATTTATCTTCTAGTTACAACTATTTAAACTCCTAAAACACGTAAAAATATTGGCTTAGAGCCACCAGGGTACACAATTCCACTCCATCCTTTGCTAGTGTCTGAGTGCAAAGGCGTGTCGAGTTGCCGGACTCGGCCTCCGTGAAAATTCAGCGCCCGCCGGAAAATATGGCCGCTGATGGAACCCTAATGTTTCCGCCTAGAAACGGTTACTTGCGGTCAACCGCGACAGCCTTGAACGATCCCTGAAAGTTGCCACATATTGTTTCATCTAGACGTGATTGCTTTACGATATTTTAAACAATTGTTAAAAATTTTCGCACGTTATTGTTCATGATGGCATTACAGAAATTAAAAAGAGATTTTAGACTTAAAAATATATAAGACGCGTGCGGGACCTAAAAGACATTGGGAGCGTTCCGTGCTGTGGCTGTATCCAACACGATAGATATCGAGATACGATTAGAGCCACAACATGGAAAGCTGAGGATGCCGGTTCAATTCCCGCCTGTGTCGTAATTTTTTTAAATCTAAAATTTATTTTTAATCTAGCAGCAATTATTGTAATTTTAAAATTAGTTTTTAATAATATGATTGAAATTATAGCTTTGTTATCTTTGATATATATATCACAGACATGTAATATATATCATAGAGGTGGTACTTTGTCAATCCTTTCACAGGCGAATAATTCTCTCTCAGATCATCCAGCGCACTATCATAAAAAAATTAAAAATACCTTTATTTGTGTCATACAATTTTTTACGTACAATATAAAAAAGCGTAAAATATAAAGTAACATCATATAAATACTGTCTGTAGTTTACGCGAGTAGTAGATACAGTATATTTAAATAAAACACTTAAACGGTTTAGAACACGATAAATATTCGTAAAACTAACTAACTAAACAGCCGTGACTCGGATACTACAAAGCATCCGAAACATCGTCAGATATAAAACACACAACTATTACTAAATAAAGTTCGATGTAGTAAGCTAAAAATTTGGTTGTCGAAATCAAATACTTGCACGGCATGACCATTGCAACTGCATAGCATCTGTTAGTTAAGATTTATTAACGTTTTAAACCATTCAAAATGTTTTATTTAAAAGTGGCTTAAAAGCTACCGACATTATTTCTGTAATTGTTTGTTTATTATATTCTATTGTCTTCTGACAATTTTGGAGTTTTGGATTAAGGCCAATAAAATTTAAGATACATCTTCTAGTTCTGTGTAAATGTATGGTTTCAGTAGCTTTCGGGACGCGATCTCATTAGTGGACGAACATACAACCGGACACGAGAGACGTCTGATTGGCATTACGGAAATGATTCGCGCTGACCTTATCTCAAACCGTACTTATTTGTAGCGAATATTTGATGTGACCGATATTGTAGTGTATAACAGTTTAGCGTATACTCCCGAGTTTCGGGTACCAGAGACTGTAGTGGAGAACAGTTCCGAAAAGTATACGTGCTTGTAATTGCTAATGCTATGCTGTAGAGTTAACAGCTTAAAGGTTAAGAGGGAGGCGAAATAACCAAACCCAATGAGTGCTGTAGTGCGACTGATTTATTTCCTATTAATATGGCTTAAATATAATTTACAATAAAGTGAGAAAGTAGGATGCTTATTAAGCTAACCTTGTAAATTTGCTTTTAATAAAAACATTGATGTGAGCACGACGCTGACATAGATTTAGAATTATGCTAGCTATGCTATAAAATAATATTATTATAAAAATATAGTAAATTTGTACGGATGTTTGTCCGTACATCCTGCCGCCTCAGAAAAAAGGAAAAGAGCTACTATTAGAAATAGGAAATAAACTCAAATAAGAATTAAGAAAAACTTAAACAAGAAGTGTAACTGACTGAAATGTCGTTGTAATGTTATCAATGTTGATAATAAAAATATTAGACTAAACCAAAAATTAAACTTAATTAAATACTACGAATGTTCCTATCGCAATATAAAACGTAAACTAGGTTAACCTATGAAAGTGTTACTACTTGTTCAAAGTACTTTTATATACAAAGAGATTTTTTGATTGTGGTTTGCGTGGGGTAAAATTAAAATTAAGACATTGCAAAAGGTTGAGAACTTAAGGATAGTTTAAAGTCTCTAAGCGAAATAATAGCCTATACACTAATCACTTCACTTGGTTCACTTGGTTCACTTTTATAGATTTCGGGTATGACTATTTTATAAGACACTTTGTCCTTAGCAATGTTAATGGGACTTTCACTAGGGAGGGGTCCCGGCACCGGCGGTGCTGGGCCTGCCGGCTGGCGCTGTGGGCCCGCAGACATTCCGGTACAATGGGGCACTCTCGAACTGTAGTGGCAACCGGCAGCAGCAGTAGTACACGCTGTAGCCATGGGCTTCCGCGTTTTATTCCGACAATAGACAATGCTACCTAGGCACGCCGTAATTGTCAGTATGATCAGAATTCCGCCAAGTATAGAGTACTGAGGGATATCGTGTACGGTTAAAGTAGTGCTAGCCTGTTCCTTTAAATTATTTATTTTGTCTGCTATATCTAACCAGTTATTAGTGTGGTTTTCCGCTAAAAATTCTCTGGGAAGGATTGAGGAGTGGTTCGTTATTGGTAGACTGTGATCAACGTTCATGTGACTCATAAAATGATTATCTCCGTATAGTAAAAATTCCTTTCCGTGAATAGAGCATCCTTGACCTACATCAATCAACCCGTTGAACGTTACAGATAATATATCCATAGTGTCACCACAAAATATACGGAGTGCGCATTCCTCGCAGCACGTGAATAACCACCTGTTAATGTTTTGTAATTTGAGCCACCTTTCAGTACAATGCGCCGGTTTTATATTACATAATTTTCTATTGTTTATTATGAGTTCTTGGTTTCCTCCCCTCTTGGGACACCTTGTTTTGGAGCGTTACTATCCGACACGGATTGTACCTGTTGATTATTTTCACTGACCGGAAGGAGGGCCAACTTAATAACTGGCCTTTTTATGACTCCATTTTTTGTTTTAAGCGAGACGATGCGAACGTAACCATCTCTTCCGGGGTGAACTTCTGTGACTCTTCCCAGAGCCCATTTTCCAGGTGGAATATGGTCTTCGCGTACTACCACGACGTCCCCCACTTCAATGTTCTTACTAGGAGAGCGCCATTTTGACCTTGATTGCAGTTGTTGTAGATAATCTAGAACCCCCCCCCCCCCATTTTTTTTTTTTTTGTTGGGGGCCGGCGCCCCTTTTTTGATAATTTATTTTTTTTTTGGGTCTGTTTGGGGGGGGGAGGGGGGGGGGCCCCCTATAAAAAAATGTCCGGGGGTAATTTTTTCTTCCTCTTTCCCCTCCGCAAGGGGGGCAAGGGGGGGGGGTTTAAAACACGCCCGGGTTTGGGGGAAAAAAGGGGGGGATTTTTTCAAAAGTAGGTTTTTGCTCGCCAATTACTCTCTTTAAATGGTATTTCAGACTCTTAACGGCCGCTTCCCAAATCCCTCCCGCGGAGGGAAAGGAGGGGGCATTATACTTCCATTCGATGTGGGAGTCAATTTTTGCAAAGAAGTCCTTGTTTATAGCCCCTAGAATTTGGTGGGATTCTTTCTGCAATAGACGATTGGCACCTACAAAGTTAGTGCCATTGTCGCTATACATATGGCGTGGAGTTCCACGCCGAGCGCAAAATCTTCTAAAGGCAGCTAAAAACGCTTGAGTGCTCAAATCCGTAACAAGTTCTAGATGTACCGCCTTAGTGGAAAGACATACGAAAACCGCGACGTAACCCTTGGATGTTCGTACTCCGCGTCCTTTGTTAAGTTTAATATCGAAGTGCCCAGTGAAGTCTACGCCGGTATGTGTAAAAGGACGGGAGGGGGTCACCCTTGGTTGTGGTAAATCTGCCATTATTTGATGTCGCTTTTCTTCGGTGAAGCGTCTACACCTAACACACTTTCGAAGTTGCGTTTTTATAGTACGTAATCCACTAAGAATCCAATATTGATCTCGGATATGCGATAATGTTAGACGTGGTCCACCATGAAGGGTTACCGTATGAGCTTCTTGTATAATAAGCTCCGTAATCCGACTGTGACTCGCTAATATGATGGGATTTTTCGCGGAGGGGCTCAAAAACGAGTTGTTTAGCCGTCCACCAACTTTAAGAATTCCATTTTTGTCTATAAAAGGGTTTAAACCTGCTAGCTTGCTTGATTTATTTATATGTGTATGTTTCAGTAGATAGTTATAATCGTCTTCGAAGTCTTGCTGTTGCGAAGTTTTAATAATTATATCATGTGCTGATTTTATTTCCGCCGGCAACAGGTGATTGGCTTTTGACACGGTTTGTTTATTTTGCAACCATTGCATGAAACGTGATAGCCATCCTATTGTTGTTGTCACGCGTCTTAGTGAGCTATTATCATTCAATAGTTTTAGTATGAAATTGTTATCACATAAAGCTGCGCATACGCGAATCTTTTTGGTCTCCACCATAGGAGCGGGATATAATTTTTTTGTTATGCCCATCTCGTCGATATTTTTAATCCATTGAGGACCTTCCCACCACAATGTGTGCTCTAAAAGTTCCTTTGCTGAGATTCCCCTTGAAGCACAGTCCGCCGCGTTCTGATCCGTCCGTACATGATGCCAAGAAGAAGTCGGAATTATCTTAGTTATGTCTCGTATGCGGTTAGCCACGAATTGTTTCCATCGATTAATGTCGCCATACAACCAACCCAGCACGACCATGGAATCGGTCCAAGCAAATATTTTTACGTCCTTGTCTGACCTAATTGATTTTACGACTTTCTCCACTAATTTTGATAACAGGTACGCGCTGCATAGTTCCAATCGAGGCAAAGTAAGTTTGTTTTTAACGGGCGCTAACTTAGTTTTAGCGGTAAGTAGTCTCGTTGATGGCTCACCCTTATCTGTTATAGATTTTATGTATACGGCGCAAGCGTATGCTTTCTCTGATGCGTCGCAAAATCCGTGTAACTCGTAGTTTTTGCTATTTCCAACATATCGAGGAATGATGAAGTTGTTTAACGTTTGTAGATCCTGTTTAAGTCGACGCCAGTCGTCCTTAATTGATCTTGATACTTCTTCGTCCCATTGCAAATCATCCGTCCATGTCGTTTGAAATAAAAGCTTTGCCCTAACCGTGAGAGGGCTTAACCAACCCAGTGGATCAAAAACCTTCGATATGTGGGAAAGTAATTGTCGCTTGGTTAATGTCTCCTCAATTAAATTATCAAATTTGTTTTGGAAGGTGAAAGTATCGGAGTCAGGATGCCATCGTAGTCCCAATGTTTTTCTTGATTCGGAGCATTTAAAATCTAATGGGGTATCAAGTTGATTCCGATTGAGGTTCTTCGTTAACTCCTTGCTGTTGCTGGACCATTTACGGATATTCATGCCCGCACCTCGAAGAATATTTATTACTTGTTGTTGTAATTCCTTCGCTTCCTCTAAGGTGTCTCGTCCTTCTATGAGATCATCCATATAGAAGGATCCTTTCAGTTCCTCTGCAGCTAGGGGATACCGATGGCCATCGTCGACTGCTAGTTGTCTTAGAGTCCGCATAGCAAGGTAAGGCGCTGCCTTGGTTCCATATGTTACAGTGGTTAGCTCATATTCTCTTAATTTATGCGAGGGTGAAGGACGCCACACGATACGCTGCAGAGCACGATCGCATTTCCTGGTAACCAGTTGCCGGAACATTTTTTCAATATCGGCCGTGATCGCGAATCTATATTGGCGCCAGGTTATTATAAGACTAAGTAAGTCGTTTTGAAGATTAGGACCGCGTTCCATAAGATCATTGAGACTGTGTCCAGATGTGGTCCTTGCGGATGCATTGAAGACAGTTCGAAGTTTCGTTGTGGTGGAGTCCATTTTTAAGACACCGTGGTGCGGGAGGTAACAGGAAATTTGTTTCTCCCTTCCGTCACAAAGTTCCATATGACCTAAACCTTCATATTCCTCCATAAAGTTAATATAGCTCTTTGCAAATTCTTCGTTTGCGTGCATCTTCCGCTCCAAATTGTAAAATTGCGCAGTTGCGCGATGTTTAGACGTTCCTAGTTTTTGCTCAAAATCAGTCTTCATAGGAATCGCGACTTCATATCTCCCATCAGGTAAGCGCCGTGTTGTCCTTTGATATAAGTCTTCGCAATATTGCTCCTCTTCAGTTAACTGTGGTTCTGAAGTATCGATTTGTTCTAATTCCCAATACTGAGAAAAATCTTGTATTTCTTGAGCCACAACGTGACAGTGATAAGTCTTTACGTTGCCCGATAGTACCCAACCTAGCCTTGTTTGTTGAGCTATGGGTGCCTTCGATGGGCCTTTGAGTAGTCCGTCCATTATGATTTCTGAGTACACACTGGCGTCCAAAAGGATGTCTATTGTTTGTGAAACGTTGTATTCAGGATCAGCTAGAGGAATGTTTTCTAAGTGGGACCATGATTGCTTCTCGAAGGATACCTGAGGCAAACTGTTGGTAACGCGGTTGATGACAAGTGCGTCCGTTCTGAGCGTGTAATTGCTATGAATCGACTCACATTCAAGAGTCACGATACCTCGACTTTGCTTCGAACCGGAACCAATACCCGAGATGTTAGCATGGTGATACTTTCTTGTCAATCCCAACAGTTGAGCGGCGTTCTCGGAGATTAGTGATACCTGTGAGCCTTGATCCAGTAGAGCCTTAAAGGTAATTTGAGAGCCATCTTGAGCCTTGACCTTGAGCAATAAGGTTGTAAGTAATATTTCTTCATCTAAGTTTGCTACGTAGTTTACGTTGTGTTTTTTGTTAGGGCTGACGTCGGATTTCGTTGCGGATGATGAAGAAGGTGATGGCGGCTTGGAGCGGTTAGGTGGAGCACTTACATCCCATGAATTATGTAAGAGTGAGTGGTGGTCGGCTTGACAATATTTGCAGCGTTTAAAGGAAGTACACGGTCCGTTGTGTGGGTAAAGGCAGTTTTTACAACACTTTATGTTAAACACGGCCCTCATCCTGTCTCGCGGTGATAACTGCGCAAATTTTGGGCATTGGTAAAGATAGTGTCCTTGGTGGCATAAAGGACACCTTGAAGAACAAGTTGCTGTGGCTTGGTACTCTCTTCGGTAAGTTGGTTTAGTGTTGGTTATTTTAGGTGGAAAGTAATTGCTCTGTTTAAGTTGGTGCGGCATATCTCTGTCGGGCTCCAATGCGATAAATTTACATTCTATGAAATTCATGAGTTCACCCAGGGATGGCAAGTCGCGGGGCGAGTTACGAGCCTCTCTGTATTGAGCTAGAGTAACGGAATCTAGTTTTTTACAAATTAGGTGGACTAAAATAGGATCCCAGGTACTAATATCGATTCCCAGATTTTTTATTGCTAAAATACTTTCGTTACATGCCTCATATAGCCTTTTGAGGTCGTAACAACTTTGTTTTTGAACGCTCGGTTGGCTCAGTATAAGTTCAACGTGATTATTAAAAAGTAATTGGTTGTTATTATATCGGCGCTGTAATAGATCCCAAGCTGTATCATAGTTCGCTTCTGTGATATTTAAATGTTGAATGAGGCGCTCAGCTTCTCCTTTCAATTTAGACTTGAGATGTTGCATTTTTTGGCATTTGGTGAGAGACTTGTTATTATGGATGCTTTGTAGAAACAAATCGTAAAATGTTGGCCAATTTATATATCTACCGGTGAAGACAGGAATTTCTATGTGAGGCGTAGATTGCTGTTGGTGTATGCCGGATCCTAGGCGATGATGTAGAGCCCTGTTTGCATCCTTGTATAGTTTTTCATAGTGCCCAAATTCCTGCTCATATAAAGTGTCCGACCCTTGAAGTTTGTGGTCAATCTTCAAATGTAGAGATTCGATAGTATGCCAACGCGCCTGCACGTTGCGTATCTCGTGCTCTAGTTCCCATTTTTCGTGGATGTTATCTATGTTTAAATGGCTAATCAATCTCGTAAAGGCGCGGAAGTTGCTGCGTTGCTGTGCTAAATTATTAGCTGTCTCCTCTGATAGCGGAGCGCTGGAACCTGAATGAGCTGGTGGAACGGGGCTGGAAGCCTGCGAGCGAGTGACGTATTTTATGGGCGCTATTTTACTCGATCCTGGAGTCGATACGTCTTCCTCAGCTAGTGGGTGCGAAGCCACCTTAGACCGCACCTCCTCATAGTATTTTCTGGCTTGATCATACTGATTTCCAGCAAAATACCCAACGTCCTCATGCCTATACATGTCTAAAGCGGAATGATTACTATTGAATTCGGCCCAAAGTTTATCTAACTTCTCTAAGCGCTGTATTATGTAGTCGCGAGTCTTACGACTCGCCGAATCCTTAGAAAAGTTTCTATCGATTTGCCGGATACATTCGAGCACTTCTTGTTGGCGTTGGACAAGCTTATCCATTTTAAAAACGTTTGTTTAATAAATGGGAAGATCTTACTTGTTTTCGGCTGCAGCTATTGACGGTGTGCACTTACTGCTCTGCGTCCGACGATACCGCAACACACACAATAAAGTTAGTTAATGCGACCCGATGCGGATGCACTGTACGTTATTTGCGACGATTCGCGAGGGAACTGCTGTGGTTCCTGGGATGCTTCGCTCTGGGAACTGCTGTGGTTCCTGGGATGATTCGCTCTGGGAACTGCTGTGGTTCCTGGGATGATTCGCTCTGGGAACTGCTGTGGTTCCTGGGATGATTCGCTCTGGGAACTGCTGTGGTTCCTGGGATGATTCGCTACGGGAACTCCTGTGGTTCCTGGGATGATTTGCTGTGGGAACTCCTGTGGTTCCTGGGATGATTTGCTGTGGGAACTCCTGTGGTTCCTGGGATGATTTGCTGTGGGAACTCCTGTGGTTCCTGGGATGATTTGCTGTGGGAACTCCTGTGGTTCCTGGGATGATTTGCTGTGGGAACTCCTGTGGTTCCTGGGATGATTTGCTGTGGGAACTCCTGTGGTTCCTGGGATGATTCGCTACGGGAACTCCTGTGGTTCCTGGGATGATTTGCTGTGGGAACTCCTGTGGTTCCTGGGATGATTTGCTGTGGGAACTCCTGTGGTTCCTGGGATGATTTGCTGTGGGAACTCCTGTGGTTCCTGGGATGATTTGCTGTGGGAACTCCTGTGGTTCCTGGGATGATTCGCTACGGGAACTCCTGTGGTTCCTGGGATGATTTGCTGTGGGAACTCCTGTGGTTCCTGGGATGATTTGCTGTGGGAACTCCTGTGGTTCCTGGGATGATTCGCTACGGGAACTCCTGTGGTTCCTGGGATGATTTGCTGTGGGAACTCCTGTGGTTCCTGGGATGATTTGCTGTGGGAACTCCTGTGGTTCCTGGGATGATTCGCTACGGGAACTCCTGTGGTTCCTGGGATGATTTGCTGTGGGAACTCCTGTGGTTCCTGGGATGATTTGCTGTGGGAACTCCTGTGGTTCCTGGGATGATTTGCTGTGGGAACTCCTGTGGTTCCTGGGATGATTTGCTGTGGGAACTCCTGTGGTTCCTGGGATGATTTGCTGTGGGAACTCCTGTGGTTCCTGGGATGATTTGCTGTGGGAACTCCTGTGGTTCCTGGGATGATTTGCTGTGGGAACTCCTGTGGTTCCTGGGATGATTCGCTACGGGAACTCCTGTGGTTCCTGGGATGATTTGCTGTGGGAACTCCTGTGGTTCCTGGGATGATTCGCTACGGGAACTCCTGTGGTTCCTGGGATGATTTGCTGTGGGAACTCCTGTGGTTCCTGGGATGATTTGCTGTGGGAACTCCTGTGGTTCCTGGGATGATTTGCTGTGGGAACTCCTGTGGTTCCTGGGATGATTTGCTGTGGGAACTCCTGTGGTTCCTGGGATGATTTGCTGTGGGAACTCCTGTGGTTCCCGAAATTATTTGCTGTAGGAACTGCTGTGGTTCCCGGGTTTCGGCACCAAAAACTGTAGTGTATAACAGTTTAGCGTATACTCCCGAGTTTCGGGTACCAGAGACTGTAGTGGAGAACAGTTCCGAAAAGTATACGTGCTTGTAATTGCTAATGCTATGCTGTAGAGTTAACAGCTTAAAGGTTAAGAGGGAGGCGAAATAACCAAACCCAATGAGTGCTGTAGTGCGACTGATTTATTTCCTATTAATATGGCTTAAATATAATTTACAATAAAGTGAGAAAGTAGGATGCTTATTAAGCTAACCTTGTAAATTTGCTTTTAATAAAAACATTGATGTGAGCACGACGCTGACATAGATTTAGAATTATGCTAGCTATGCTATAAAATAATATTATTATAAAAATATAGTAAATTTGTACGGATGTTTGTCCGTACAGATATGAACATCATTAGCTCTTAAAAAATCATCAAAAAATTATAATACCTATACATTTGATCAACATCAACATTGTTATCTACTAGCTGGGCCTGCGACTTTGTCCGCGTAGAATAGTTATTTTGAGCGTCAAACTTCTCCTCTCCTTAATAAAATAAAGCTGTTCCCCACGACGTCGGTCTTATCCCGTCGTTCTAAGAACTTAAAAGAAAGACATATACTATCATGTTTTTAAATCATTTAAAGAGAAATCACTTCTTTCATACATATTTGTTGCATATCCGTTTTCGCAGCGCACTCTACGATAACCCTCAAACATTCTCGATGGATGCTCTAACCAACACAAAAATAATTTTCGATTCGAGACAGTAGTTCCTGAGATAAACCCTTCAGCTTTATAAGATTAGTATAGACATTTAAATTATACGGGTACTCGTTTTTTTTATTAGCACGCACTTATATTTTGCATTATAAACCGTTAAGGGTTTCCTAAATTGTGAACAGCTCGGAAGAAATACTTAGGTAACTTTTAAATTTAAAAAATTAAATTCTCTTCAATTAGACTAGAGTCGTGTTAGTTTTTATTTCCTTGGTTGGCATTTGCTATATAGATGTTCATATATTATTTTATAACATAATAGAAGATAATAGTCAATGAAGGTATGTTCTTCTATATTAATATAACCAGAAAAACGTATAGTGTGTTTATGAAAGAAAAATTCACAATCTCTCTTCCGCCGGTTAATATTGATGGAGACGTAAAAAAATATTGCGCAGGAAATACAAACATACAGATTGGTATTTCACGGTTTCTTTTTTAGTGCCCGAAACTCCGGAAACAATTTTCTAGAGATGATACCGCCGGGTGAAATAAACCGTAACATCAAGTGGGGAGGCCGTAAAAACGATTCCCTGAAAATTAAGTCAATCGACGCTTTTCTCACTAGATACTATGTAGGAATTGCGGTGTACCGAAAATACAAAGCGGAGAGAGTTGTTCTACCATACGTCAAATAATATTGTAAATATTGACATTGAGTTCTGCGTACAGACTACATATTAAATAACGTATTTATCAGCTGTGGTTATGCGCTGTAGTTAAAATAAAGTCGAGTTTTTTATTTCGCTTTTTAAATTCGTTCATTTTTCTACTAGCTAAGAAATTGTAACTATATTATTCTTTGTATTAACCAAGCAATTACCTACAATGAAGCGATTTATTAATAAATACTTATTTATTCTTATTTGTCTGTCTGTTCACATCTGATAATAGAAATAACGCAATTACAATTATTTAGAATTAATAAATGTATATATATATAGGCACCCAAAGATGATGTACTTATGTATTGTCATGTATATTATTTTAATACTGATTACAAAAGCTTTATTAATAATACATATTTAACACTATTATAGCATTTACATCCCATCATAACTCTACTCAACACGAAGTATTTAAAAGTTTTTACAAAGTGAAAAGTCGAAAATTCATCTAGTTAAGAGCAAAATGAGATTCCCCGGACCACAGTGAAGCGAGCATCAACACTTATTAAAAGAGGATTAACTCGTTTAAAGTACGATTGAACTTCTGCCTTAGACTTCAATGTCGAGTGGAAACCGCATACAAACTTTAACTCCCATTCTCTTTATTCATTGTCAAAACATGAACGCCTTCTGTAGTATTTTTTATGATAGCGGACAGAAAGAAATACCACAGTCATATAACATTTTGGATATTTGGAAATCCACAGATTATTATGTGAGAAATATTAAAGAATATAGTTTTCAAACATTAAGATTTATTTATTTATTCGAGTTCACGGCAGCTTAAAACCTTACTTTAATTACACAGTTAAACAATAAAGATAAAAATTTTTTTTCTTTATTATATTAAAACTGTCTATAGTTTACGCGAGTAGTACACATTTAAATAAAACACTTTAACGGTTTAAAACGCGATATATTAGTTAAACTTATTTGAAAATGATTTTTAATCCCCGTGACCACGGCTTCTGCAAAGCATCCGAAACGTCGGCTGAAGTTAAAAATCATTTTCAAATAAGTTTAACTAATATATCGCGTTTTAAACCTTAAAGTGTTTTATTAAATTTATCTATATTGTGTTGTATGTTCGTGTATAGTTTTTAGACATCAAACGTCTAAAATAGCAAAATTTCTTAACTATTAAGTCATAGACAAAGACGGCTAATTTCGGATAGCTACAGACAAGATCGTTTCAGTGAATAAGAGCAATCATTACGGACCTACAGAGCCTTATTACGTTTTCAGGATAATGTGTTTAGTTTATTTGTATTTTTACGTGGAGAATAATTCCCGCACGCGGTTTCAACGAGGAGCGCGATATTTCTTTGGTCAAACAAATTGCGGTCGGGCGTTACTTTGATTGAGGGTTATTTGTTGCTTTTACAATGAACATTAGCGTGGACTCGTGTTGCCGACGTATATACGGTACGAAACTAATGTTGGTGAAACGTGGTATTTTTATGTCAGCTGTACTTTTTATGGCCTTTTTTTTACTGATGGTGTGAATGGGGAGTGTGGTAAATCGTATAGCCGACCAGGACCACTAACCACCAGCCCTCTACGGTGCTTAGAGGAAGCCCTGGGAACACTTTTTATGGCCTAGTATACAAAAAGTACAGCTAACAAAATATGGCTAATATGTGACGGGTCGTGATTTCGATTTCTACGATTCAATCAAATCCTTTATTTATTTATTCAAAGATACATCAACAGATCAGAATATATATCGCTATTTACGTTCTTATGTTAGATCCAATAATATATAAATGATTGGTTTTTTAATGGGAAAAAAAACAATTAGTTATACTAATCATATTACTTTTATAGTCTTTCCAAAATAAACCAGAACTCGCTCGGAAATATTTTTAATAGGTGTGAAAAGCCGTGAATTGTAAATCCGCTTTCTTCAGTAATTTCCGATTGTCAAAGCCTAAATAGTTCGACAGCACATCTTAATTAGATTTTAACGCTGCGATGTTTCATGCTTGTCTGTTCATCTCAGTCATAAAACGGCTTCTAACTGACAATACCGGTGAC